CCAATTGACAATCTTGTAAGCAATCCTGCTGAACCTTCAACTGTAAACGTCGATGGTAACATTCCACGAAGGTCATCTATTGACATCGTTGAGTCACTGTATTTAAATATTTTCTTAAAGCAATCGTCATTATCTAACCATGCAATAGCTTTGAAGTTTTCATTCGAATATACATCTGCTTCATTAAATGTAAAACCTGACTTCTTTGCAGAGACGACTTTAAAATCTATTGAGTTTGTTTCAAAATTATATGCTATGGTAACTTCTGAAGGTAATGGATGTCCTTCCGCAGTCAGTTGTTCTCTCACTACCGTTTGAAGCTTTGTGTTAAAAACTTTCATGTCATCTCCTGTATCTAAGTTCACATACACAGCAACAGGAAAACTATCTTGCTTCTTTGTTTCATCATTATACCTCAAAACATTAAAGTTCTTCAATAATATTGTTCTTCCTGCTGGAATACTTCGAACCTGTCTTATTTCAATAGCTTTCTCACCTCCTACATACTCTACCCAGTGTCTTGGATATTCATAAGTATACTGACTTTCTTGAATTTTGGTTGGTTTCATCATAACATGTTCATAGTATATCTTTATACTCTTGTCAGTTAGACTCGGTGCTATGTTCTGAATATTTCTGACTTGCATTTTTAATGGAGATAAAATGAAGCATTTAATACATGACGTAGATGAAGACATGAATGAAAGCAGTGAAAAGCTCAACAGTTCTCTCATTCTTCCTTTCAGTAAGGACTATGAGTTCTGTTCAAATGGTGTGTATTTCTATTGTGGAAAGATGGGTTCAGGTAAGACATTTAACCTCATTCGTCATATACTCATAACAGAACGTTTAGGAAATGACTCATATTATGACCAAATCATTATATCAGCAACTTCAGACTCTATGGACTCAACAGCGAAAACATTTATGTCAAAAGTTCAAGCCTCTGTCGTTAAAGTTCCAGACAGTGAACTCATTGAATTTCTTCAACGTTACATTCGACGTAAAGAGGAAATATTATGCATCGTTGAATTTATACAGTCAGGAATGCAAAAGACTTCTGAGGAGATGGAAAGAATTATTGACAAACACCACTTACGTCAATACTCAGGGTTTACGATATGAAACGACTTACAAACTACATTCTGTCAAAACTTTCAAAATACCCCTTCAAAAAGTATCCTTCAAACACTCTGCTCGTTTGTGACGACTTCGCTGGTAAAGGTTTAGTGTCAAAACCAGACTCACCATTAGCTAACATCATTACTAAAGTCAGACATTACCATTTAACTGTAGCAATACTTATGCAAACATGGAGGTTTTTAGCTTTAAACATAAAACGTCTCATAACTGACTTCGTTATCTTTCAAGGTTTCTCACGCTATGACATTGAACTCATTTGGAAACAGTCAGGTATAATTACCTTTGAAGAAATTTGGGAAGCATATAAGTCTCTCATCTCTCCTCGTTCATACCTTGAGATTCATATCATGACTAATACCATTAAAGTCAAAAATATTCCATGGGAACGACCAACATTGTTTTAAAGTTTAACCTTCAATTGACTGATGGTAAACAAATTCCATGCATCTCTGTCGCCATTTTCTGTTAATATTTTGCTGTCATTCATATTCATCCACTTCCCCATCCGTTAGCTTTTGAGGATATGCGTTAGAATAGCTGTTCTTAAATGAAGGCTTTTCACCTTTGAGAGCATAAACTCTATAACTTTCTGCATACTTTATGTTTGAACCTCCTGAGCCATCAATTGACATAAATTTTATAGGCTTCCACCCTTTGTTTGTTCCTGCTTCTTCCCTTAGCTCTTTTGTTCAGTAGTTCTACATCTTTATACACAGCTTCTGTCTCAGTGAATTCAACAATATTTTCATTCGTTAGCTTTACATTCAAAACCCTTGTCGAGTATATTGTTCATTTCATACATATAAAAGGTTTTTTATTCTATATGAAATGAGAAGCAATCCATCTTAGCTGGTGCCGTTAATGTTCCAATTGAACCAACATCAAATGTTGACTCACGAACGACAAACAATATTGTCATAAAGAACTATAGTTCAGAGTGTTGAAAGAAAAAGAACCAGAACTTAAGTCGGGACCTTCGGTCTTGGAGCATGGCGCCGTGAATTTAAACACAGCTTCAAACGCTAACGCTACATCAGATGTTAAGTTAGAGTATCCACCACTGGACCAAATTCTTTCAAGAGAAGCCAACGACAACCCTTACACAAATGTTCAAACAAATCCTTCAGATAACGTAGACCATTACCTTCTTCAGTTATACCAAACAATTTTACTCAAAGACGATAAGAAGCTTTTGACAAATCTTATAAGCAAGAACCAAATAATTCTAACAAAGGAGGACCTTGAAAATGTTATATCACGAATAACAGGGAAACAATGTGTCATTGACTATCTCGACCCTGAAATCGAATGCTGTGGTCAAACTCCACTATTCATGAAAATAGGTAACATCCGCATCATTGAAACACCAGGAACTACAGGAGTTGAGTTTAAGTATAAATATTCGAACGAGTATACAAAACTATCTACTGACTATAAGCTTTGTTTGAAATATGTTTTAGTAAATTAAAGCAGTCAGGAGGGCTCTTTGAGCCCATCTTGGCGCTTTGCGCCGTCAGTCAAAAAATTTCAAGTTAGCAATTTGTAATATCTATCCAAAGCTTCTTCAACAGTATCGAACTCATCTTCATAATGCAAACCTAATCTTATTGACTTGGTGCAGTTTTCACTAACACAATATTTTTCTGTTCTCTTGACTGACATAACTAATTCATTTGTTTCATCAAACAGCAACAACCAAAGTTCATGACCTAATACATAACATTCATACTTTATATTTTTAGCTCTGAGTTCTCTTGTAAGCTGTTGCATTTAATATTTTCTAAAAAGTCAACTTCAACAGTCATTCGCACTGGTGCCTTCAGTTCTACAAGCTCTCCTTGAAAGTCAACAAGTCTGAATTGCATGTCTTTCAAATTATGAGGACTAATGCGAACCCATTTACCTAAATGAGTTGCTATGACAGGAACATTTGGAATGAACATTGAATTGACTGCATAACAGAAGGATTTATATTCTACTGAACCTTACTATTAACTCCTGAAATACCTGTGACATTAGCTATTTTAGACTCAATGTACAAACAGTTGCCATAACATACATATGGAACAGATTTCATCTCAATCGTTTTGTCAACACTTTTCAAAGGAAATGTCATATGGTATGCACCCAAAAGAAGTTGTACTCTATGACTCATTCTTGGTATCTTAAACTCCTTCACATAACTGAACTTCAAAACTCCTGCAATAAGTTTAACATTCATTAAGTTTTCTTCGTTATCCTTGTTTATTGTAGTATTTATGAGAGCATTTAACACTCCAGCTAATGTTTCCATCTTATATTCTACATTATTGTGAAATCTTATTTCGTGCTTCTTTCCATCTATTTCAATCTCCATGAAATCTGTTTCATCTGTTATGACAAAAGTTGCGATAGTATTGAAGTCAACAACTCTGAAAGCAAGCGCTTCATTCTGAAGACCTAAGTTTGTTTGTAGCTTTACTGTCCCGTATTCATTCGGGTCTGTACTTTGCAAATAGAACAACATTTTATTCTCATTAAAATATGACTATTGCTGCATATGCGTATGAAACAAATGAAGCAAGAAGAGCACATGAACTAGTAAACGAAAACTCAACTTTAACCATTGAAGGCAATGATTTAGTCATTGACGATGGAAAAACTAAAAAAGTCATTGATTTCGATACTTTTAACACGTATGACCCATTCATTACAATAAGTAAAGTTCCTATCATAAATGATGGAACGGTGCAATATATAAATTCTACAGTAGATGCCTCATTAGTGAAAGTATTAAATGTTCTCATTGAATTGTTAAAGAGCTTTCGATTTGACGACAACATTAAATGCCTAAAGAATTTAGTCATGAATGAGAAACAAATTCTCGGCGTTGCTGGTAGCAGTAATGATGTACACCTTATGACATTAGAATATTATAACGAACATAAAGATGAACTGAAAGGAGAGAAGGGTGACACCGGACCTCAAGGACCACAAGGAATACAAGGAATACAAGGAATACAAGGAATACAAAGACCTCAAGGCGAAAATGGTTTGGATGGTGAAGATGGAAAGGATGGAAAAACTGCTAAATCATGGATATGGAACCTTATAAATACTGGTTTAACAGCTGCTTCATATGGAGTTCTTCAATACCAAATCGGAAAGATATGGGCAGTACTTGGTGAAGAAGTTTTAGATGACGTTAAAAATGCTTTGAACTTCATTTCAAATGGTTCGGATACTATTAAAACTTTATCTGGTTGGATGCAAGAAACAAGGAGTCAAATAGATACTGTAAGACGTATAGCAAACAATGCACGTACGGGATTGGATACTTTACGAGAAGCACAAAATACACTAAAGGAAGCAAATGATATTCTTGGCTCAGTATCAGACATGCATGAAGATTGGCTTAAAGGTATTGACAAATCTTTAAAAAATCACAGTCAGTCTATTGCTGACTACAAGAAAAGTATAGATTTTTTACATAGTGCTATGGACGTACATGATGGAAGCATAAGGAACTTACTTAATGCTAACAATAACTTACCAGGAACTATTAAAGCATTTATAAAGTCCTTTGTAAAACCTGGTGCTCTAACATTTAGGTCTTTGAGAGCAAGAACATTGAAGTCAAGAGATGCAGAAACTCCAACAGAACCTACAGAAGGAACTGAAACAACAGAAACTCCAGAAGAACCACCAAAACCAACAGCTAATGAAATATTGTTGAATATTTTCCAAGGTACTCTGTTCTCATTGCATACATTCAAGAAATACTTAAGAAAGCAGACTTGACTTTAGGAGATGATGAAAGTTCTGTATATCTTTCGTTCCAGTTTCAAATAGCAGAACTTTTGAGACAGATATGCTTAATGTATGACAACATCTCTGATTTCACAAGATATGATGACGACCATGACCCCGAACACGGTGAAGAAGAAGTTTTACAAACATCCATTAAGACAGGAAAGGTTTTAACTCAAAGTCTCATTATTGACACCAAAGATGGCGAAGTGGACGTTCTTCAAGAGCTGAAGAAAAATACTTCTTCGGGAGGTGGTGGTAGGCATGAACTTGAAATAAATGAGATAGAAGAGAAATTAGCCGAAAAAGCAGATAAAAACCATGTTCATTATATAAGTTCAGACGAACAAATTATAACGGACTACCACGGATATTTAACACGAACTGAAGAAGAAGTGAAGACGGAAGATGTTAATGAAAGAAGATATAAATTCATTCGTGCTAAAGGTTATGACATACACTGTACTGTACAGTATGACACAGGTAAAGCACCAGAAGCATTTGGTTATAACGATGAAATTTATGCTTCATACTTCTCTGTTAACGATATATTAGTTGAACCAAAATTTACATTGAGAGTTAAGGCAAAAATAACTTTTGAAGATGCTATTAAAAGTAAAGCTGACAAAGATGAACTTGACGCAACGAACAAAGTTTTGAAATCTCATAAACACAATATCTCCGATATAAATGAACTTCAAGCTAAATTAAATAGTAAAGCTGACAAGAACCATACACATGAATCCTTCACTACTGTTAGAGCAGACGACATAATATTGAACTATACCCTTGGTTCAAGTGCACCTTTAGAGAATCCAAGTACAAGCGTAAAAGATACACTACACTCCTTAAATAGTAAATGTATGAACATTGAAGGTCATGCCAGAAACTTTGAAACATATAAACTACCAGCAATGTTAGATAAGAAAGCAGATAAAGAACATACACATAACTCCTTCTCAACTGTTGCTATAGAAAGTATTGAAGGAACGGTTGGCGGAACTGGTGGGGATGCATTATATTATAAACCTCCTAACTTTCCACAAGGTTTAACATCGAATGAAAAATAATTCATTATTGCCTTCCTCTCGTGTTGTTGACACAATGTCATGTCGTCAACATGACAACATGGTAGCACCTTCAGTTCTTCAAAAATAATTCATTATTGCCTTCCTCCTGTGATGTTGTCAAAATGTCATGTTGTCACTATTTTTAAAAGAAATTAATTGACCTGGTAGCACCCGGTAGCATGGTAGCACCTTCAGTTCTTCAAAAATAATTCATTATTGCCTTCCTCTCGTGTTGTTGACACAATGTCATGTCGTCAACATGACAACATGGTAGCACCTTCAGTTCTTCAAAAATAATTCATTATTGCCTTCCTCCTGTGATGTTGTCAAAATGTCATGTTGTCACTATTTTTAAAAGAAATTAATTGACCTGGTAGCACCCGGTAGCATGGTAGCACCTTCAGTTCTTCAAAAATAATTCATTATTGCCTTCCTCTCGTGTTGTTGACACAATGTCATGTCGTCAACATGACAACATGGTAGCACCTTCAGTTCTTCAAAAATAATTCATTATTGCCTTCCTCCTGTGATGTTGTCAAAATGTCATGTTGTCACTATTTTTAAAAGAAATTAATTGACCTGGTAGCACCCGGTAGCATGGTAGCACCTTCAGTTCTTCAAAAATAATTCATTATTGCCTTCCTCTCGTGTTGTTGACACAATGTCATGTCGTCAACATGACAACATGGTAGCACCTTCAGTTCTTCAAAAATAATTCATTATTGCCTTCCTCCTGTGATGTTGTCAAAATGTCATGTTGTCACTATTTTTAAAAGAAATTAATTGACCTGGTAGCACCCGGTAACATGGTAGCACTGAAAAAATTAAATTTGGATTGAGTTTAAAAATTCATCTTTATTAAATTCATCTCTTCCAATCAATTTATTTATTCTATTAAATTCTTTTATTTTTGCTTCACTCAGTTTAAGGATTGAACGGTAAGTTTTTAATTTTTCGATTATTTCTTTCCTCTCTTTATCGTTTTCAACCCCACCACATTGCTGCTTCGTTGTCACTCATTTCTTACGAAATAAAAAAATTAAATGTTATTTAAATATAATGGAGTAATAAAATAAATCGGAATTTCTATTAATTTATTGTCAACTTCAACTAATACATTACCGTTAATATATCTAACAAATTCAGCCATTGTGTCAAATCTTCGTCTTCTTTTTGTCATTGATTTATCAGTTTTTCCATAATCGAGATGAATCAAAACTTTATCCCCTTGTTTAAAATTCATGAGCCCCGAATTAATTTGTTCACATTTAACATCATTTAACCTTTCAATTTGTTTTCTAATATATTCCCATTCTTTTGAAATATCATTTTTCATTTCCACTGGTTTCATGTTTATAGTTCTATGCCATGTATTATTGTAATAATATACTAACTGCTGTATGATGGAGTCATGATTTCCATCCCAGTATATCTGACCGTTAACTCCTAACGCATCTCTAAGAGTTCTCATTACCGCATCAACTATTTTATTATGAAACGTATATGGAGAGGATGAAAAGTAAAAATTAATTTGTGGGAAATAATGAGCCATAGCTGCCTGAAATCCTTTATCACCATCACCCCTGATATTATCTACTCTTTCATGATCTAGTAAGTATTGAATAGCTCTTCTTGTTTCCTGTTCTGTTTTCCCTTTCACCGGAATGCAATATAAATATCTTGTGTTAATGTTAATGGCAAATAAATAAGTAACATTTCCTTTTGAATATTCTAAATGATCGATTTCGTATGAATATGGATATGGTGCAAATGAGGGGCGACTAAATTTTTCCTTTAACGGTTGAATTTTTGGGTCAATTGGTTTATTTAATATCTTGAAATCCTTTTTAAAATCTTTTTGCTTCTTTAATGTTTGAAATGGATATAATAAAGTGAATGATGAAGGATTAACTGAAGGAGGTTTTGGGGTTGCAAGTGGTTTAATTTTATCTGCTTTGATTTTGGATGATGAAGTTTTGGAATTCATTCCTCCTTTCATTAATTCTGGATGTATTCTATTCATTTGTTTTAAATATGCTGTATATAAAGGTTTGATATACTTTCCCACTTCGAGTTTATGTTGAAGGATGAATTCCAAAAGTTGATCTTCATTTAAAAGTTGGGTTGAACACGGTTTAACTAATGAATCATAAATTAAAGCTTGTGCTTCATTTATGATCTGAAGGACCTGGGTGTTTTGCACTTTTAACTTTTGTTCCTTTGGTTTTTGCGGCTCAGGATTATATAATTTATATAATTCATCAATATCTTCTTCTGTTAATACTTTATTTTTGAAATCTTTCAATTGTTTAAGTTGTGATTTAGTTTTTCCCTTTGTATATTCATTATTTTTAATTTTGTCTTTAATTTTAGAAATTATTTTATCATGATATTTCAAAATTTCATTTTCATAATACGGATAATAATAATCCATATCATCACCCGTTATATTGTTATCATATTTTTGGAGATATGTTTTTAATTCATAATAATCAAGAAAATTTTGATTAAGTACTAAATCATCAATTAAAATTTTTAAATCTATGGTATTCATTTATATAAAAATAAAATAAGTGTTTTAAGGGCGCCCACCTCTTTGATCAAGAATCAAAATCATTATTAACGGTTCCTTTTGTCCCTTCTGTGGCATTTCATTAAAAATAAAATTTAAAATTGTATTAAATAAACGGCATACAACATCCATTTTCACAACATACAGCCTTAGTGTGTGCTCCTGTTAATGCAGTCTTACCAATTGTTAAGCGAGTCATCGTCCTGTTTTTAAGTTGTAAATTAATATTCTGACCATCAAATATCACTTTATCACTTATTATATCCAAATAATTTTTAGGTGTTAATTGTTTATTTTGTCGTAAACTAACACCTTTCATTTTTTGTGCAATCTTTTTAAAATCACTTCCATCAATTGAACCGTTGAATGATGTATAACATTTAGGGCATAAAGCAACCATGTTATCACCTTGTTTCTCAATTGCTAAACCCAATAACTTCTTCTCATGTGCTTTTTCTTCAGCTTTATTCTTTAATTTAGGTTTAAATTTCTCATCAAAACAAAAGAAATCAAATGGTGCGAATTTGAAAATGTTTTTATCATAAAATTGTTTATCGGTTACAATTGCTTGAAATGCTTGAGTGTTAGGAAGATTTGGATCGCCAGCGATTGCCCAATAAGATGAATCAGTATCACCTTCAATGAAATGAAATCGATTAACATTCATGCATTTATACATAAAATCATAAATGAAAACCAAATACCAGTATTTAGCGTTATCTAAAGTGAAGAATGCCTCTTGTAAACATGTTTCACATCTATAAAATCTATCTTTGAGCATCATTTGATACGTATCTTCACCTATTTCTCTTATGTTTTTAAACTTATTTACCATACATGCAACGCGTGCCTTCTGTGCATTCATTATTTTAGTCTTTGTGTAATTTTGTGTATTCATTGCATCGTAACCATATGATCCATTAAGCGAAATCTTGCAAAATAAACTTTTTCCTTTATTTCCTTCTAATTCAGCCTTTTGTCTTTCGTTCATAAATTCGTTCGCAAATTCATTAAAGCAAGTGTTTTTAGTAAATGTTAAAATTGATTGAATGTCATCAATGATAAAATGAAATCTGTCGATTAGATACCAAAGATAATAAGAAGAAAATGGTTGATATTGGTTGTGTGTTGATGCTAACTGAGTTAATTTTCTCTGTTTCTGGTCAACTGGTAAATTGTTTGATTTCATGTAATTATACATAAAACTGCCAATTGTTTTTTCATCTGTGATAATATCTAAGTTTCTTATTATCGGTAAAAAGTTTATGTAATCATTAATGTATTTTTCATCAATGTGACCCTTTACTTCAGCCACGAATAAAGTATTTTTCTTTCTAATAATTCCTAATGCTTTTGCTTTCTTTGTTGCTGTATCACAAATGATAACACCATTCAATCTTCCCGGCATATACATTTTATGGTCAGTATATTGAATGAAATCATGAGGATTAGATGAAAATGATGAAGGATATAATGAATTAAAATCAACACCAACGAAATGAGTCATAATGTTGGTGGTGTCCTCATTTGATACAGTTTTAGTTTCTGGACTATATGAAAGTTTATTAATGTGCGTGATTCCTTTAAGATTTACTCTATGTTGAACATTTGATAATCCACCAGTAATTCCATTACGGAGAATGTGATAAGCTTCAACTGAATCTAAAGTCATTGGTAAATTATTTTTTAATGCATAATTTCTTAAATTGATTCTTAAACGTTGAACATCTTCATCTTTATTTGATTTTACGACATTGCAATAACAACACATTAACTGACAATTTTCTTTGGTATGTGGTTTTTCATTATCGATTCTATCCAATGTTGGTTTATTTGCATATGTAAACGCTTTACCACACATTTTGCATTTAGATGAAAGGATTAAATCGTGATAGTATTGAAAATCATCCATTGAAACATTATTTTTAATATCCCTTTCTGCTTTTTCATCTTGTTTCTTATATGATTCAATTTTATATTTCCAATACTTTTTCGTTAATTCAAAACTTGATTCTATCTCTTCCTCAGGATATTTTTCATTAGGATTAAAGTCTTTATATGCTAAAGCGTAACGAATCATTGAAGCATTCGATGATAAAGAAAGATTATGAAGCGTGTCAATTTTATAAACAAATGTTTCTTCAATAATTTTATCGATTGGGCCAATCATAATTTCAACATCTTTATTACAATAATGAATAAAATATTCTAATCTATTCTTAAAATTTTTAGCATCATTGAGATATATTTGATAATCACTATCTGATATAGTTTCTTGAGTTAATGCTGAATAAAATGAATCTTGAGTGAATGGTTCCACTTTATATAATTCTTCTTCGTAATTTTCCCACGTGATGAATTGATAAGGGAAAAAGGATTTAACACGTGATTTATTGTTTCCGAAATCTTGAGTGAATTGGTCTAATGTCCCACCCGCTATATAATTTCTGATGTCAATAAATCTCAATTCATATGGAACGTTTGTTTTCTTTACAATGATTTGCTTAAATTGTGAAGATGAACCCAGCATTGATTTTATTTTCCATTTTACAGTGTTTAAATCATGAAGAATTAAATTTAAATCAAACTTTCCCGAATTAAAACCTATGATATTCACTTTATTAAATTCCTCATCTAGAAGTTCTTTAAATGCTTCCTTCTGTTTTTCATTTAATGTATGAGACAAAGTCCCCACCGTTTGCGGCTTCAATAATTTTTCATATTGTTCAATATTTGATTTAGCAACTAATGAACAGGTTGAAAATAAAAACTCAATCCAATCAGAAATAAAAGAATCACTCGAAGTTAAGCAAAAATTCCTCGTATATGTTTTATCATTTAATTTAACCGTTGATGATACCATGAATGGTTTTAAGTAAGCATTCAAAGTTGCACACTCAGAAAGTTGTAATTCTTCTTTAGTCTCTAATGTTTCAAAGTCAAAAGTAATATAATATCTTGTCGGTTGATAATATTCCTGCAAATTGTGAGCTAATAACCACTGATATATATTTGTGTTTCGTAATATGTGGTGCATATGGTTGTTGTGTCTTTTGCAACTGAACGTCTTGAATTAATCTTCCATTATTTTCTTTACATTTCTCACAATGCTTTAAAAATCTTCTTTGGTTTTTTCCTTTCTGGATCATCACGGATAGAATAAACTTCTTCTTTACAATATGGACAAACTTTATAGCCGGTGAGTGCTTCAACATCTGTTATTCTGTCAGCGTGAAGTTTTCCACATGGACTCTGTGTTAATAAAATATTTACTGTTTCAAATTCTGGATCTATCATTATTGATTCCACTAATGGAAAGTCTACCTTATTTATGTCCACATCTTCTGGTTGAGGATCACAATAATAGAAATCAATATTAACATTTAACATTCTCGCTAATCTCTCACTTTCTGATGAAATGTCAAACCCTTCATATGCATCTATTGCTTCATTTAAATAGCTTCTACGAGTTTTAGGATTAACACCATCAGGAATGTTATAGAAGCGTTTAAATAACCTTCTACCTTCTGCTCTAATTTGATTATCATTCATTTTAGCTGTTCCGTTTTTGTTCATTTATGTAAGAATAAAAAATAAATAAAAATAAACTTTATTTTTAAAGTCCGTAAAATGAATTAAGAATACATAAATTTTTATCATCTGCGACGTGACGAATACATTTTAATTTACTCAAGAATGCATATCCTGATACATTAAATCTAATTCCTGTCTTATTTAATTTCACAACTTTGAAAAGGAATGTATGAATAGCTATAAAATGATGAGAAGATGTTTTATGGGTTGCTTCTATTTTTTCTGAAATAAATGAATAAATATAATGTTTATAAGTTTTTATATCTTTTATGTTCTTAATAACGAATGGTATAGACCTTTCAACTTCATCTTCCTTCGGTGCTGTTCTTTCATATGAAACATTATTAGTATCTTCAACAATGAAACCGCAATCATACAAAATTTTATAGGTTCCAATGGTTTCTTTTGATATTTTATCTAATAAATCAAAAACTTTATCAACACCTGTGCATTTATTTAAATAATAATTTGTGTAAATATCATGATCTTCTTTCTTAATTGTATTAGTTGCATATGTCACGTTTTTAAGAACTTTTTTGAATTTTTCGGAATCTAAAGGTGGTGAAAGTAATATACATGGGTATTCTTCATTATCAATAAATTGTAACTTATGTTTACGAATAAATTTAATACCTTCTTCTGAAAGTGTTTCGTCTATTTCACCATCTAATAAATTTTGTGTTGATTCTGAGACATAATTTTTATATCTTTCTTCATGAGATTTCTGAACTTCTGATTCTGAAGCTGGGATATTCATTAAACCCTCTACTTCATTTTCATTATATTTTTCAACTTCTTTTAATTCCTTAATTTTTTCATCTATTTCATCTCTTATTTTTTCCAGTCTTTCAATTTCATCATATTCATCATCTTTAATTCGTTCTTCATAATATTCAGGGAAAACATCAGGTTCTTTAGGTTTTTCTTCTTTAGATGTGGGATATAAGAAATTTATAACATCATCTTTATTCATTTTTCCATCATAACCAAATTCATTTAAAAACTCCGCGAATTTTTTACAATTTCTTAAATAATATTTATCAACTTCATAACCCGCCTCCTCTAATATATCCTTTATTTCCTCGTTTGTGAATCCTAAATTTTTAACATTGTTAGTTTTGACGCTCATTTCATACAAAATAAAAATAAATTATTCAGAACTGTAAGATATGAATTTTTAAAGTTTATTTTTCATTCATGATAATCATTAGTTTCTTAAAGTTCAATGTTGAACTCAATCTTTATTTTAAACATTGGTTTAATTAATTGTGGAATATCTGACATCATCTATATATAACTTCTTTTATTTCATTATGTATGGGCTGAGTGTAAATGTCTTACGTTTACAAAATTTTTTAAATCTTGATTTATTCAAAAACGTAAGAATAAAAACCGTAAGAATCATACATTTTTTACTTCATATGTTAAAAAATGATACAAAATCGTTCTATATTGTATGAATTCTTACGTTTACAAAAAAAGTCACACAACCCGCACTCATATACTACTAAATTCCTCATTCCAAAAAAAAGGTATTTGAAACTCAATTTGATGAAAATTTAGCACATACTACTAAATACAACATAATATGAATATTTTTGTTCAACTCAAAAATTTCCTCAATTCAACATTTATTCTTCAAAATCTTATTTTTTCTATTCATTTTTTAAATTTCAAAATTTTCTTGCAGGAAATTAAAAAATTTAAAACTAAAATCAATCTATTTTTCATCCATTCTTTATGATTCTTGCTCAAATATCCGATGAATATCTTTTAAAATTCATATTATATATTTATCAATGACATCCCAAAAATATTTTGGTATAAAAGATCATAACCACCAATAGTTAACATTTTAATTCCAAATATTCTTTATTAATCGCATTTATTTCTTTCCAATTCAAAATTATTCTCTTTAAATCTCAATATCAAATAGTAGATTATGTTGCTATTTTTAAGTTAACCAGTTCACTCAGATTCTCATCCTTTACTAACTCAACAGTACATCGAGAAAAAAACTATTGCAAAGTTAACAACCGTAATGAATCTTTTGCGCATATTTATCAAATAGCACTGCAAAGGACTTCATATATTAAAGCTCTTCTACAGGAGATATCAGAAACCATTGTATCAAATGCATCATCAGCTTCAATTATGCAGGAATCGAGTAACGTATCGATGTTTAACGCAAGATTTCATACTGATTAGATGGAAAATTGAGTTTGAAATTAATTCGGATTTATTTTTTGAAGATACAGCATTGTGCAATGACCACTGGCTCTTTTTCTCCAAATTGGCGATCACCCATGTCACGACACTAAAATTTTACTCATTTTGAAATTAATGGTCGTCAAAAGTATCGATTTTTGGATAATAAATTTTTTATCTTAATCATAGAGCATTCCAATTCAGTAGTAATTATGCATTGTGCGGTAAATTTTTATCACAAATCTTCTCAAAATTTTTAAAATTTATTTTGATCAAGGAATAAGCTTAATTATATCCCTATTAACAATATTTGTTTTCGACCAATTTTTGATGGCCAGACAGTTTATAAATGGTCAAGCAAGGAAAAAAAATTATTTCACTCGGCTACTTAACTATTGAATAAATTGAGAGGACACGAATATTTCCATCTTTATTAATGTCTGCTATTGGTATTGATCTTGGTACAACATACTCCTGCGTTGGTGTTTTCCGCCACAACCGTGTCGACATCCTCGCCAACGATATGGGTAACAGAACAACACCTTCTTATGTCGCATTCACAGAAGACGAGAGACTCGTCGGTGATGCTGCTAAGAACCAAGCTGCTATGAACCCACAGAACACAGTCTTCGATGCTAAGCGTATGATTGGCCGTAAGTTCTCTGATCCAGTCGTCCAAAAGGATATGAAGCACTGGCCATTCAAGGTCGTCCGCAGTGATGGCGACCGTCCAAAGATTGAAGTCCAATTCAAGGGCGAGACAAAGCAATTCTTCCCAGAAGAAATCTCAGCCATGGTCCTCGGCAAGATGAAGGAAACAGCTGAGAACATGCTCTCAGAAAAGATTACAGATGCTGTCGTTACAGTTCCAGCTTACTTCAACGATGGCCAACGTCAGGCTACAAAGGATGCTGGTGTTATCGCTGGCCTTAACGTCCTCCGTATCATCAACGAGCCAACAGCCGCTGCTATTGCTTTCGGTCTCAACGAGAAGTCCGATAAGGAACGCCACGTTCTCATCTTCGATCTCGGTGGTGGCACATTCGATGTTTCCCTTCTTGATATCGATGGTGGCATGTTCGAAGTTCGTGCTACAGCTGGTGATACACACCTTGGTGGTGAAGACTTCGATTCACGCCTTGTCGATTACTTCGCTGATCGTTTCCAGAAGAAGTTCAAGTGCGATCTGCGCGAATCACCACGTGCTTTGAGAACACTCAGAACAGCTTGCGAGCGTGCTAAGCGTACAATCTCTACAGCTGCTAACGCATCCATCCTTTGCGAGTCTCTCTACCAGGGCCACGATTTCCAGGATACAATTTCTCGTGCTATGTTCGAGAACTTGAACGATGAACTCTTCAGATCCACACTTGGCCCAGTTGCACAGGTTCTCAAGGATGCAAAGATGTCAAAGTCCGATGTCACAGATATCATTCTTGTCGGTGGTTCATCACGTATTCCACGTGTCCAGCAGCTCCTCCAGGAGTTCTTCAACGGCAAGCAGCCATGCCGTGGTGTCGACCCAGATGAGGCCGTCGCTTACGGTGCTGCAGTCCAGGCCGCCATCATCAAAGGCGATAACTCCGAGGCAGTCAAGGATATCTTACTTCTCGATGTCGCTCCACTTTCTCTTGGTATTGAAACAGCTGGCGAAATCATGACAGTTTTGATTCCACGTAACACAACAATTCCAGCCAAGAAGTCAAACATCTTCACAACATTCGCTGATAACCAGCCAGCAGTTACAATCAAGGTCTACGAAGGTGAGCGTACAAGAACACGCGACAACAACCTTCTTGGTACATTCGATCTCACAGGCATTCCACCAGCACCACGTGGTGTTCCACAGATCGAAGTTACATTCGATGTCAACGCTGATGGTATCATGAACGTTTCTGCTCAGGATAAGTCCACAGGTAATGTCAAGAAGATCACAATCAAGAACGACAAGGGCCGTCTTTCCCAGGCAGATATCGACCGCATGGTTTCTGATGCTGAGAAGTACAAGGCTCAGGATGAAGAGATCAAGAAGAAGACAGAGGCAAAGAACGGTCTCGAAGGTTACTGCTTCGGTGTTCGTAACTCTGTCAACGGCGAACTCGGCTCTAAGATCGATGCTGCCGACAAAGATGCCATCCTCAAGGTTGTCAACGACACACTCGCTTGGATCGAATCCAACCAGGACGCTTCTGTCTCTGACTACGAGAACAAGCAGAAGGATGTCGAAGGCCAGTTGATGCCACTCATGCAGAAGGCCTACCAGTCTGCTGCTGGTGGTGCCGGCGGAATGCCAGGTGGCGTTGACCCATCTATGTTCCAGAACATGGGTGGCGCTGGTGGTGCTGCTCCAGGTGCTGGCCCATCTGCTGGTGCTCGCCCATCAGGCTCTGGCCCACGTGTTGAGGAAGTTGATTAAATAAATTCTCTTTATTTTATTTTTATATTCAACAATAATAATTTTTTTCATTATACAACAAGAAGTGGAGCGAAAATAAATATTAACTTCATTTTATTTGATTTTAAGGGTGCACCCATATGTACGTTTATTTGAGAGGAGGAGGATTACCCTCTCAATTTTGAGGGATTCGTTAGTTTATTTTCTCGATGAATATGCAATAAAATTTGATTTTTACCTTATCAATATACTTCATATAATATACACATGTTCATGTAAAAACTTTTTTCCAAAATCCTCAGGAATTAAGGGATTTTTGAATTTTTCGAATTTTTTTCGAATTTTTTGTCATTTATCTTTTTTGCTTGTATTTTAAATTATCAAGATATATATCATTTGTGTGCTATTTGACTTATTTTATGAAACAATAATTTCCAAAGAAGAGCAGTGTTGTAAATTGCCCACTATTCAGTCTGATTCAGAGAAGCTACAATAGGAATTGTTGCATGCGAGAAATTAAATCTAGATTTACTGTCCTCCTATCCAATAATTCCTCTCAAAAAAAATCTCTTATTTATAAGTCTGGTTTCATTTACATGACATGGTACCTATCGAAATGGAGAAGGCAAGAAAAATTATTAATTTTTATCATTTAATCAAGAACAAAATAGAAATATGATATTTACCAAAAAGAAAATTTATGGATGGACATAATGAAATGATTTTATTTTCTTTCTTTGGAACAAATAATAATACTATTTCAAGATTTCCTTCACGTGGACTTAAATTAACGAACTTTAATATATTCTTAAATGAAACTTCTCCTTTTTCTGATGTATCAACATATCCAACAGATGAATAAGAATCAATACTACATCGATGGATATAAATTTGTCCATAATATGCTTCAAATAATTTTCCTTTGTTAATCTGAGGATTGTTTTGGAAAGATGAATCGAAAATATCATGTCTATTATCTGAAACATAAACAATTCCCCAATTTTTATTATTTTGAGAATTATTTATATAATTACATCGGTCAATTCTTCCTGGACATTTCCAAAACTGAGTAGTCAATGCGTCAGTTGCTTTTAAATTCTCAAAATTACAAAATGAAACATTTACTGTTGATTCAATATCTCTATACATAAAACCTGGTCTTTGTAATGAAATACAGTTAGAAATGTTTGTTTTTGAAAGTGATGCAAAACCATTTCCATGGTAAATCATACAATTTGCTGAACTATCTCCTCCATTACAAATTGATCCTTGGAGGATTGTACTGTTGATTTTGCCATAAAAATAAGTAAAATGGCCACCTGAAGGATTTTGACTTTCAAATGAACAAAATTTATCAATAATAATGTTATTTTTACTATAACTTTGAATATAAACTGTACCTGGACCTTTTGAAAAAACGTTTTCGCAAAGTAAAATCGAGTAATCATTTGTATTTTCGAGTTTAACTGCTCTATCTTGTAGATTGATGAATTTACAAATGTATGCAAAGCATTTGTTTTCTGTTGGAATGACTTGTTGTTGAACTTCACCTGTAACGACTGAAGAAGGAGGAATAATTCCTTCATAATAAAGACGCCAAATACTATTTGTAACTTCTTCACCATGAACATGTTTCCTCAAAACAATTAATATTAACTTGGCTTTGAGTCAAAAAGACTCACTAATTAAATTAAAAAGGAAAGGGGTAACACCACGACTATAAATGAAAATTAAAGTGCGAATCAAAAGGCGTACCTATCAATTTTTGAATGGTTTACATTTCTAATGCTCATGGTGCCTTCACTGAGAGTGAGAGTAAATTATTAAATATTAGAGCTCAAATAAGCTGCACATGCAATAGGTAGTACAGCAGCTTCTATTTATGCTTAAATTTCTGGTTTGAAGCTTGAATTAAATTTCGAAATCTTAAATTTTGAAGTTAGACCCGAAAAAATCGTATCAATTCATCCTATATGTATATCTGTTTTAATATCCTTTGTTGTTATATCGAATTAGAGCGAATAGCTTGTGCGGTCCAAAAGATGTACCAATTTTTGAGTTGAGTGGTTGCCTTGCCAGAAATCGACTTTTTGAGAGAAACTCATATAATTAATTGTATGACTTCTCTCAAAAAGTTGAAGCTAAGTACTCCTTTTGACTCGCAGTTTAATGTTTATTCATAACATAATTTGACATTGCTATAGATACCAAATATCTAAATTAGCTAAAATTTGTATTTTTGACGAAATGGTTTTCAATAATTATGGATTGAGGTGGTTTCGAAGCCCCGCTTAGCGATGGATATTTTCTGTACATATAAGTGCTTTCAAATCCGTAACTTTGAAAATATCGAAAATTTTTAGTCTAAAATGAGAAAATCAAAAATTGATACCATAAATTGCTTTTTTCAAATTCATCTAGCGGTTTTGAGATTCACCTATCATATATGTATAGAATATTATGAAGCAACACTATCATAGTGTGTGATGTACAAGGAATAATATCAATCATGTAGGCATATACAGTGTCTCGAAGCGGAAGAAGATTGAGAGGGGATAGTTGGTCGGTCAGAACCCTTATATAGCAATACATCTACTTTTTTCTTATCTGGTGATCTATATTGTGCAGACATAAACTTACAGCATTCCATTATGCCAAAAAATCAAATTTAATATAATATTTCATATTTCTCCATTTAATATATTTCGAGTTTTGATATAAAACACTGGGTAGAATATACAAGGAATATTTTAGGAAACTGTGATATTGTGGTTCCTCTTGCCTTATATGCATATTGCATGTATTCTTATACAAAATGTGTAAACTGTATTATTGGAATATGAATGTATGAAATTTTAATGGAGTCCCAATGTACCGATTGAAAAATAATTGTAAATTTCTGTTTTTGAATTTATATCTTTCATAATACTTGGCGTTCAAACTTAATAAAAGTAGTATTCAATTCTTCATTTCAGAGGTACCTAAAATTAAAATCAATTGATCTGATAGATCAATTTTTGATTGCTTCATATTCTTTTTATATATTAATGGATTGTCCGATTACTATTTTAATATACAAAATACAACTAATAACCACAACAAATATCAATTCCAAAGAAAATCTTATAATTCTTCACATTCCATTTTCATATTGAATTTGTAAATCATGCCACAGTTTAACCTTTGTAAATAGATAAAACTAACGAATGTAAATAGATGTTTATGAAGGAAATATGTCTATTTGGGAACCAATTTCTGTCAGACTGACAAAGGTGATCTAGGCTGGATATTTAATAATTTTAGCATCTCTACAGTGTTGGTGGTTTAATTCAATACACTCTAAAGAATTCCGTACAATTTTTCTTATTTCGATCAATCCGAAGTTCTCATCTTTAATTCAAAATTCAGTAATGCTTTTAAGAAACATGACACTGTATATTGCAAATAGGACAGGCCTTGGCTTCCTTTTTGTTTTGATATTTATTGAGGGAAAAAAATAGTTGAGTAATTAAAAAATAAGTATGAAGTCAAATAGAATACATGTTTATAATACCAACTTACAAAGAAGCAGATTAATTCATCTTGCTGAACTTTAAGAAAGCAGCATTGAAATCTTTCTTTGACAAATCGTTCATTGGACAGTATGTGCCATTTACGAGGTCAAGGACATAGCAAAGCTTCGAGTACACACGCGCTAATTGTCGTGTAAACTGGCCATGATATTTTATGCAGTGCTTTGACAGGAAGCTCATAGCTTCATCCATGCTGTTAAACATACCATTATGAGACAGTTTCTTGTCGAACGGTATAATCACTTGCTTCGTAGGGACGTAAGTGTAGGTTGGAAGCTCTATCGTTAATGACGGGATTTTTGGTGGGGTTGGAGGCGCCTGAGGAGCTATAGGCATCATGGGCTGGTTGTACGAGTAGGAATAGGGTGCACGATATCCGTTCTGGTAGAAGACTTGAGGAGCAAACATTGTTTTATTTTTAAGAGCCTCTCAAAATTGAATTATCAGAATTTTTCATAGTGAAATTGAAAAGACCAGGTCAATAAAATCATGAATTTAGTATACAAGCAAATAACGGAAAATCCAAATCTTCATAGATTCACAGAATACAAAAATATAAATTCGAAATATTATGAATTTGGCATAGTATGCATGCGTTCAGAAATATGATAAATTTTACCTACAAATGTAATTTTGAGAGAAAACGTTTCGAAGATTATGCTAATGACATATAGTATAGAACAATGGGAATTTCTCGCATATGTTCGTACATGAGCAAATACTATACCTTTTGCGAATAAAGAATTTTTTCATAAAAAAAATTTTTTAGGAATTAGCATATCGGCGTTTTGCGACATTGCCAAACGCCAGATTTTAACCCAACATATGAGCATAAGCTCGTATATTGGAATAAACTCGACTTATTCCATATTAAAGTTATTATAATAATAAGGCACTTAATGTGCAAATCTAATTGAATTAGAAAATGCACATTAAGTGCCTTTTATTGGAATATGTAATACCACATATGGAATATGAAATATGATTTGCGGAATACCACATATAGAATATGTAATCAAAATACAAAGATATTTTATATAACAATTAATTTTTTTTATTTTTTCAGCAAGTGTGGATAAAAAAGGATTACAAACAAATTGAATAGTTCCTATGTCCTTTTTTTGTTTCAAAAAAATCAATAAATTAATGATTTGTCTCAAACAAATAAATTAATGAATTGCAATTGATTTGAGTTGCTATAGACATTATAAAAGGTTCAAAAGTTTATATAAACCTAGTAAATTAAAATAAAATTTTCATGAATTGAACATATTAGTTGGGTTCCGCTTTGGCAAACTTTCCTGTGAAATTTTTTGGGAAAAATGTTGATGGATATTTGGGAAAATTTTGAAAATTTTTGGGGAAATTTTCGATGGTAAATTTTGGAAAATTTTATAATTTTTCCCAAAATGTTTATTTTATATATGCTAACAATATTATAAGTATAATTTCAAAATTTCTTTTTTTCACAAAAAAAAAATTGATAATTGAATGGAACAAATAGTTCATTTTTTTAGATGTTTTCTTCTAAATACTGGCGCTTATACTAGATAGAAACTTCTATCGGTATTCTCGGCGTAATACTTTTGCCTGAGTGATGCTATCTCGGACATAGTCAGAGATTAATCTTTCGACGAAATGGTAGAAATATTTCTTTTGAAATATTTTAGGGGCTCTGAGGCACAGCCAGAAGGTCTCCGCCATTTCAACCGTACCTAGAAAATTAATCTCAATATATTATGTTGGGTCGTCGCAGTGATTCACTGTTAATCATCACTTTAGCGTTGCTTCGCCAGCTTTAGAATGTATCTAAAAAAGTAGTAATTAATAAAATCTGTAATTATGGAATATTTTTACAGGCGTGAAGAATGTAAAAAAGTTCTAAAATTACGATTCTCGAACTTATTATTATTTTTGATTGGAATACTATTTTAATATTTCAATCAAAAATAATAATAAGTTCGAGAATCTAATTTTTACTTATGCACCAGTTAAACTTTTATTTTTTAAATAAACTATTTCTATTAAAAGATTTTAAACGTTTTTTTAATTCTTCACAGTTTCTTAATTTCGAGTTTAAAATGATATATATTAGGATATCTAGATATTATTAAATTGATTGGGTTTCATTATTTATTAATTTTGAACTCTATTTCAAATTTGATAAGATTTTTATATCTTTTAATCACTTCATTTATCAACATGGATGAACCATGCGATGAAGATATCATCACCAAGATAAAAGAATCCAGAAGGGCGAACATTGTTGTTACTGTTACACCTGAGAATTCCGACACAGATGAAGAGCCATTAAATGAAGAAGAGGCAAAAGAGATGACATTGACCAATCCAATGCCCAGGTTCTCGATTTCAATATTCATCAGGATGCATCCAAAGCTCCAGCTCCGATCATTGTGCAACTTCACATATGAACAGTTGGAATACCTCGCTGACATTATTGAATCCAACTGTGGAAGGGCCAGAAGAGGAAGGAAGGTCAAATTTTCAACAATCGAGTCTCTCTTCCTCACGCTCACATATTACTGCACATACTTGCCCTATTCAGCATTATGTCCGTTGCTACATATTTCCCAGTCATGCTATTCCAAATTAGTTACAAGAACTACCAATGTTGCATTTCCAATCTTTGCGAGCTATTTTCTTCCCAATCACTGTCCACCGTTAACTTCAATGAAGAACAAATTTACAAACTTCCCTGATGCTGTTGCAGCTGTAGACAGCACTACAATTCCTTTCAACATTCCTTCGGTAAAGGAAGAGAGGCTTTATAGTTGGGATGAAAAAAACCACTGCAACGGTATTAAGCTCCAAGTCCTCGTGTCACCAGATGGAAAAGCCATACATCAAAACGTTGAGTTTATGGCTGCAGTCCATGACAAGAAGATTTTCGATTTGTCAAAAGTCTCGGATTTTTTGACAGTAAAGCGAGGATTTGATGATTACCAATATCCTGTACTTGCCGACCGGGGCTATATTGGAATCCAGAAATATCACCTTACTGCCGTGGTGATGAAGAGAAGCCACGAAGAAGCAGACGTTGAACGCAACAACGCCATTGCCCAAGACAGGCAGATTGTCGAGCGTTTCTTTGCACGTTTCAAGTCATGCTGGTCCTGCATGAAAAATGGTTTTCGAGGTGAGCGCACATCACTTCCTCTGATCATATCAGGTTTAGTCGGTTTGACAAATTATAACATTGATGGATCACCCCTGAATGATAATGAAGAGTTACTCCTTTTCGAAGATTTTACACCAACAAAGGTTCTTCCTTCAAGCGATACCGTCGCTGCTGTTGTTGCACCCTCCATGAAACCATCAAAGCGGAACATCATTGCTGTCGCTCATCAAGCTGTCGATATCATACAGTCATCACAAGAGGCGAACTACCTTTACCCAATTAAAGGTGGTATTGTTGGTCTTCATAATATGGGAAATACGTGTCATTTGAACGTATGTTTACAGGTTCTGTTCTACATATCCGAAGTGAGAACAGAAGTTTTGAAGGTTGCCAATCAGTCCTCTCCCATCGTAACAGAGATGTCAAGTATCTTTACAAATTTGAATTCATTGAAGTCCAAAGGATTAGTCTTCGTTCCCCATGAACTTGCCACATTACTTGGTAACTCAACATATGAGGCACAAGATTGTGATGACACGATGACAAGATTGATCACAGATCTCGCAGAGCAAATACCAGGAATCGGTCAACTCTTCCGAATCACTTACCGTGATAGTGCCAACGAACAAACAAATTGCTACTCGATTCACACCAGAATTGGAGAACCAGATCTCGATCATGCCATTCAATATCATTTGTCAACTACAAGGAACACATCATGGCCACAATTCTTGACTTTCGACATTCAGAGAGAGTGGCAGAATGATTCGATTCATCAAGTCATCTTTGACTTCCCGAAAAAGTTGACACTCCCAACAGTCGAAAGGCAAAGATATCAATTGATTGCAATTGTTGCCTATTGCAATTTTCATTACGTGGTCTTTTTGCAAAAAAGTGCATATTGGATCATGATCAATGATGAAGTCGCATACTCTGTTCCATCAACAGATATCAATGCATTGAAGGGATGCTCAACTGCTGAGATGCCACCTTTATGGTACAAGACTCTCGAACACAAATGGCTCGCAAAGATGCTCATTTATCGAATGGTTCAATGAAGAAAATCCATAACATTCTCCTAAGATTTTTTTAATTTATCTCAATTAAAAATTTTATTATTACCTAAATTAATTTTGTAAACTATTTTTGAATAGTTTACAATTTATCCTAATGGGACCCATATGCGGGTTCAATTTCTGGTTTATCATCTAGATATATTATGAAAGCCACTCAAAGGGTGATTGATTTTAGGATGTTCTTAGAAGATTTTTCGTTCATTTATATTAATTTTGTATTCCCGATTTACGTTCACTAGCAAATCAATGCATTTCACACTTTAAATGACAATTAAATTCTAAGACATTACTAGAACTGCAATTTCCATAAAAAGTTTTAGTGTAAATTGCTTAAATAAATAATTATTTTCATTATTTTTCTCCAACAAGCTTGAAAATCAAACGAAAACTTTACAAAATACTTATTTACTCATTTGTAAATATAAATTTCTAACAATTTTTATCCTGAATTTAACATAATACTGTATTTCTAAAATTTGCACTAGTTCATTCCTAATTGATGCTCGGATTTCGGTATTCCATATGTGGTATTACATATTCCAATAAAAGGCACTTAATGTGCATTTTCTAATTCAATTAGATTTGCACATTAAGTGCCTTATTATTATAATAACTTTAATATGGAATAAGTCGAGTTTATTCCAATATACGAGCTTATGCTCATATGTTGGGTTAAAATCTGGCGTTTGGCAATGTCGCAAAACGCCGATATGCTAATTCCTAAAAAACTTTTTTTATGAAAAAATTCTTTATTCGCAAAAGGTATAGTATTTGCTCATGTACGAACATATGCGAGAAATTCCCAATAATTTAGAATGTCAAAAAGTTAACCGTATTGAATGCTGAACTAATCAAACAAATAAAAAAATGAGATCAAGAAGTTTTCGCGAAAATTTTTATCTAAATTACTATCCCTCATGCAGTACTTGATAAGATTTAAAAATAATTTGAGCCACCGGACTGCACGATAATTTCAGTAGTAGGATATGATGGGTTTTGTGACTTTTTTTGTAAACGTAAGAATTCATACAATATCGAGCGATTTTGTATCATTTTTTTAACAAATGAAGTAAAAAATGTATGATTCTTACGGTTTTTATTCTTACGTTTTTGAATAAATCAAGATTAAAAAATTTTCAAAATTGTAAGACATTTACACTCAGCCCATACATAATGAAATAAAAAATAAAAAAAATTTTTTAAAAATAAACCATTAAAAAAATTAAAGTTATTTTTAAAATAATTTATTTTTTTATTCTTACATAAAATTAATACACATATCGTCGGTACGGAGGCACTGCGCGCCATCTTACCGAAGATATGTCAATCTGACACTTTACAAAACCACTAACGTATATTTTACATCGCAGATGCAATATTTCTAATAACCTTAAACTATTTCTGCCACGTAAAGTATTTATCACATAAACCACCTCATCTCACCTCTCTGTACGTTATATATTGTGCGCAGGTCATTGCCCATGGCAACTCCCCGCGACACAATGCACGTGCATGAAAAAATAAACGTTCTCACTAACGTTCTCACTAACGTTCTCACTAACGTTCTCACTAACGTTCTCACTAACGTTCTCACTAACGTTCTCACTAACGTTCTCACTAACGTTCTCATTGCTTTATAACTCTCTTCCTTTCTCCAACTCTTCTAACTTCTTCTTAAGTTCAGCAATGTTGTCCTCATGAAGTTTAATCTTCCTTAATATACCTTCTCTATCTAATGGTTGCTTTATCTTTCTAAACTGAACTCTACCATCCTTCATAGTATGAATGTAAAAACCTTCTGGAATAGTTCCTGATTTAATGTATTCTACCAAAAACTTTTGTTTCATTGCTTCAGTGACTTTATTTGTCATTTTACTCTAAATAAAATGTTCAAATAAAATAAAAATAACGTTATTTTTTCAGTAAGGAAACGCAGGAGTTTTACGATTTATTTGAGGAGTAGGTTCTGGTTTAAATGTTGGAGTCGGTTTAGGAGTTGACTTTTGAACAGGAGTTTGTACTTCCATAGGTTCAGGAGTCATTGAAGGTTTTGCTTGTGAAGGCGTTGGTTTTGCTTGTGAAGGTGTTGGAGTTTGTTTAACTTCAACTACTTCAGTATTATTTACAACATTTGCTTTATTTCTTTTCAACATCATAACTGCTCCTGCTGTAGCTAGCAAACCTAGTGGGAGACCATATCTTATATAAGGACTTGACCAAATGCTATTTTTGACAGGAGCTGGTGGAACACCTAACCTTGGTGAGACTGCTCTTTGCCATTGTGCAGCTCGTAAGAAATATTCAATAGGTGCTCCATAATCGTTTGGTAAAGTTTGTTTCATAGATGGTGAAGGTTCACGAGAGCTTGATGAAGAACTCATTTATAAGCTTTAAAAATAAACGTTCATCCTTTATTCCTCACTGTCGTCCGTAGCTAAGTTATAGTCATCTAATCTTATTATGGGGATGCCATTAGCACGCACCTGAATGGCAAAGCAACAATCCCTCATAAATCCAATAAGTGGCTTTGGTACGTTTTCAGTTGCTAGTTCAATAGGTCCTTTAACAGACAATTTGTATGTTATTGGAGCAGTAGATGTTTGACCTGCTGGAAGCAAAAGTCCACTTCTGTTGGAAAACCACATAAGAAATGTGTGTTGTCATAGCTATCCCATTTATGTTCCACACTACCATCATCCACCAATGACCTCATAACATCTTCATTAAATCCTATCATATCATTGTTTGTATTGCAAGCGTTCGCAACCATTTCATAAAATACAGGTCCATATGATTTTTCAGGTTCTGCAGGCATATTTCCATAAGCTCCCATGGAAAGCTGAAGATATTTAAACTTAGGGTTCTCAAAATTAACATAATAGTTGTCTTTCTTTCTAAATAGTGCCCAAATACTTTTAACATTAATAGGCGTATAAGCTGCTGTAAATGTTGCACTTGAACTATCTGTATTCTTTGAGAATGAACCGTCCATAGGAATCCAATCCATAACTTTAACAGGAAAACATAAAGCCTCGTTTGTATAATGTTCTACAAGTTCTGTATAAATGTTAGGGTCTAAAGAGAATGACTTTGGATGAATGAAACATTCATTAAAATCCATCTTTGTTCGAAATAGTTGCTGGGTTACAGTTGTAATAGTAACTGTTCCACTAGCTTCTACTGCCTTCGTTATCATAGTGAATGGTTCATTCCATGGAACAAATTTATTTGTCGGTGGATTTGAATCTGAAGCAAATGCAACTTTAAGAGTTGGATTGAAAGCAATGATATCATTTACAGATATAGATGTGCATTGTAAGGCGTCGCTACTGAACTTTACTTTAAGCTGAATGTTTCCTGCAAAAGCTGGAATAAATCGAATAGCTTCTAATGGAAGGAATCTTCTAACAGGAATTCTTAAACGAAGCTTAAAATCAAATGATTTTCCTGCTGTAATTGGACCACTAACAATTTGTCCTGTTCTGCATGTTCCCGAATGACTCCATACATCTTCATGTCGAGTCTTTGAGAAAACATCTACTTTCTTTATTTGTTCGGTAGTTTGTGAGTTTGAAGTTATATATGCTTCTTCTCTTGCGTTGTCTTGAGAATATACGATACGACCATTTGCAAGGATTTGATATCCAGCAACTGCATAGAAAGCGTCATCGAAACCAATCCAAAATCCTGGTGGGTTTGTTTTATTGGAACCTGAACCAATTTCTTTATCTACAATAAATTGACCTTCCATTTTATACGTAATGAATGTATTGTAAAGGTCCAACATATTTTCACCAGGAGGTGAGAGATTGAATGTTACCCATGTGTTATCTTTAGCAGTTCCAGGTTGTGATGGAATCTTTGCGTCAGAATATTTTCTATTAGTGTCACCAATTTGAACTGCATTGTCTATGATATCGAAATATGAGCGAATCTGATGAATATGCTCTGCTGGAGTAAATTCGTTTAGCTGTTCGTTCTGCATGTATTTACTTCAGATAAAAATATCTATTTACTTCATTATTCTCACTCTTCTTCTTGGCATTCGTGGTGGAAGTTGTTTCTTGACATTTTCAATGAACTGTACATTCTCTTTTGTCTCAACTTCTTTCACTGGCGGGTCAGGATTCTTTGACTCGGTTTGTTTTTCAATGAAATTCACGAACTTTGCAATAAGCTCTTGGTTCGTTATTGAAAGTACATCTGGCTTCTTTTCTTCTTGTTCTTTTGGTGGCTCAGTTTGAACAGAAGGCTTAACATGGGCTTCGTGGGCTTCACCCTTGCCATGCACCTTAATGCTGTCGCTCTCTGCATTCGCTAATGGAACCTTTCTTTTTCTTACGTATATTTTACCATCTTTACTCTGACTTACGTAATAGAAAGGATGTTGTATTCCTCTTGCGTCATTTAATATAATAGACTCTCGCTCTGATTTTGACAAGCTCATTTTACATCGGTTAAAGTTTTAAGTTAGATTTTTATCCGCAGTCAAATGACTCAGACAATAGATGTTGAAGCATTGAAGAAAGAAATTCGTGAGCAAATTTTATCCGAACTGAAGGAACAAAAACAAGAACAAAAGCCAGAGAGACCAAAGAGAAAACTTAGTGAAAAACAACTTGCTGCATTAGCTGCTGGAAGACAGAAGAACCCACGTTTGCTGGCGAAGAAAGCTAGAGAAGAAGCTGAAGCAAAAGCTAAAGAAGCTGAAGCAAAGAAAGAGTAAATGGTTTATTTTTATCCGAATTAAATGTATAGACAAATACCTTTATCTGTTGCGTTCAGTAGTGAAAACCCTGACGTCAAAATAAAGGGGAACAGAGTAACGTTTAAGTTTCCAACAGACTGGATTGTGAACATAAATGAAGAGAAGTACATTGGCATAACAAATATGTATATAACACGTGCTTTCAGAAAGGTTGACTTTATACTTCAAGTCGAGATAGAAAATGATGAACAGTCTTTAAGCGCCCAAAACATTCACATATACAAATACTTTAAAGACGATACAACATTGCAACAATGTATGACTTCATTTAATGAGATGTTCGAGAAAAAGTTTAACATTGAAGTACAAACTTTACAGCCTTTACGTGAGTTTCTTGCACAACTGAAAGAAGAAGGTAGTCAGCCACAACTTATAGACTTTCATTATGAATTTAATGAAAATGAAGATGGAACACATGACTGTCAGTTTGTTGTATTCTCACCATTCAATGAAGTCGCTAAAGAGAAAGAAAATCCATTACGTATAAGATTTCAAATCTCTGAACCAAGTGATGATTTCAAGAATGTTTTCAATTATGATGCAATGCTTCCGAGGAAAAATGAATTTTCAAAGATTGTAACACCTGGCATTTGGGATAGAAAGCAAGCTATTCTTTTCTCTAATATAGCCAAAGGCGTTGAAAATGAGTTCATTGGTCATACAAGAACTTCACCACTTCCTAACCCTAAATACTATAAATTAACTGGCTTCAATCGTGAGTTTTGGATAGACATGTTCTCCACTCATGACCATAACTGCCCAGTGTTCTTACCTCCAGACCATAAGGACTGTCTCTACATTGAAGCACAACTCTTAAACTCTACCATCGCAGTATTGTAAATGACCGCATGGGCTTCGCCCTTGCCGCTAGCGGCTTATTTTTATCACGAATGACCTCATTGCTGACAAAAATAAATGACCTCAGAACTTAAACTTTCTTATGAATGAAGTCGTAGTCTGAATAGAGAAGTTAAACTTTTCAGCAAAGCAAGGTTGACATGACTTACATAAGTCGAATGCAATCTCTTGACCATCATGAAGTGCTTTGTAAAGTTTCATTAAACTGAACTCAGAGTCTTTGTCATATGTTCCAACAGGTATGTGAATGTTCTTATCTTCATTGTAATAGCATTGTATAGCTTCAGGAAACATTTCATTAGCGGTTAAAGCAAGAACGTCTTGTTTTACACCTTTACAACGTGCATGAAATGCAACTTCATTTAAATCATTCGTGAGTAAGTCTATGTAGGTCTTCTTTCCACAAAATATTGACTTGTATGCTAAACTTTGTTTTCCAGGTGTTATTTCTGCGAAGTCGCTATGAAATTGACCAAGGTTCTTTCCAATAAGTTCGCGACCGTATCTCTTCTTAAAGTCTGCTGCAAGCTTTGGTATGTCTTCATTGAAAATATGCATGCTATCACAGTCCTGGTAGAAGATTTGAAGTCCCATATCTTCAGCAGTACAGAATACTTCACACATTATTCTCTTCGACATAGACAGAATGTTAACACCAAGTGGACAGAAGTTAAAGTGTCTGCAAATGCTTTTCGTTAGCTTGAAAATAGTTTTATCTGAACCATCCAAACCTTCGAACTTCACTATATGGTTGTAGTTTCTGATGGCATATCTTATAGCATCTTTGTCATTTACTATGGTTATTTTTGACTCAATAGGAGATAGAATAGTTTTGCCATAAATACTGTTCAGAATGAGCTTTATATTTTCTTGCAAAGGATTTCCTTCTTTCTTATACTTTAACCTTAACTCAAACAACTTCTTTACTTCATCTCTTATTCTAATATCTCTGTTTCCATCGTAATAGTATCCTTGCAACACTTCACATTTGACACCTTGATATTTTATGAGGTCTTGTAATGTTATATGGTCAACATACATTAAACAGCAAGTGTTTGAACTTCTGGGAACGTTAAGTTCTGGATTTAGTTCAGGGTCACAAACTATTAAAGGAAAGTGTCTATGTATTCCAATCTCTGTTATCTTAATGAGAACAAAGAAGCCAGACACAAACTTTTCACCAATGGGTTCCTTTTGGTCGTCATCGAATAAATGTTTCATGAGATACTCTGTGCTTAACATTTCTTTCTTCATAACCTTTGGAATTCCTTCTAAAGTATAAAGTCTTGCTATAGCTGATGGATATAATGAAACAGCGTCGAAGTCAGCAATGAGTTTCTTTTCGCTCTTTTGTTTCATGTTATCTGACAGCATACATCTTCCACCTTGAATACAGCATGAAATAAATTCTCTTGGTTTATTTGAGAGGTCATATAAATTTCCATTCGGGAAGTATACTCTGTTCTCAAACAATTTGTTAGCAATAGAACAAATACTAACGTAGTCATATACGTTTAAATCAAATTCTTTCAATATGACATTGCGGAACTTAACAAAACCTTCTCTTAAAATTCTTACATCTTGTTTGCAATAGAATGTGCTATACTTTTCTAAGTCGAAGTGGTTCTCATCTATTCTGCAACCTTTGATGGAATCTATGTTTTTCATGAACGTATCCGCATCCCGGATAAACTTACACGCTTCAGAAATGACACCAGTTCTGTTGTCATTTGCTAACAAAGTACTGCTGTAGTAGTTGTAAGGAAATACTTCTTTCGGTCCTGTTTGTAAGTTAAACATAGCAGGAAATAGTTTAAGCTTCTTATTTATACCACTGTAAGAGTCGTTTATAATAATTGCCCTTCCTTTATATAAGCCAGTTATTTGCATTGTTCGTGAACCTTTAATGATGGGAGTTCCTTTCACTTCTGTCATGTGTCTTAAGATGAAGTTTATATCATAACTGAGGTTATGGAAATATATTAAACTCTTGTCAGGAAGTCGTTCCAAAAATTCTGTTGCACAGTTCTGACCCCAAATGCTTTCACTCACTGAACCATCTTCACTGTCATAACAGATGTTAAAGGCTTTATGAACTCCATCAGTGCTACACTCAAAGTCAGCAAAGAAAACGTGCTCAGGTATGAACTTACACTTAGCTTTATTTACTTCTTTTGACTCTGCTTTCTCCTTCAGTTGAACACAATACTTAGGAGAATATGACAAGTCTTTAAATGGTGCAAGGTTCTGTTATATAAGAAATAGGTTCGAAATATTTGCACTCCCACAATGTTTTCATAACATCCCATAGAGGTGTAGTTCTATCATTACGAACAACATATTTGTTCTCTCTCTTTGTATAAATCTTCATCTGTTTCTCAATGTTCATTCCACCACACTCCTTCAAGATTTCTCTGTAATTTCTGATGAAGTATGTTGTCATTGGTAATCTTTCATTTAGCATGTAGTGGTCTTCAACAAGAAGTAAGTCAATAGTTCGAGCAGTTTCACATTCTTTTGGTATGTAGTGAATTATTCTGTTATCTTTGGAGTCATTGAAATAACCAATGGTAACATTAAATGCTATACCTGCTGCGTCAGAAATTTCTTGTACTTTACTTTGAGGAAAGTCTCTAACACGAATGACTTCTCTCATGTGGTCAATAGTTTCTTCATTTACTCCAGCCTGAATGCAAGCATAAACGAAACAATTGTCTTCTGTCATAAGTGCTGCAGTTCTTTTGTTCAGTTCATTGAAGATTTGGTAGCGTTCAAGATTTATAGGTAATGTGCAAAGATACTTCCAGAACTGACCGCTTCTCTTCTTATAAAACTTCTTTTCACCATTATCTTTCCAAAAGCTTTCTATAAGTGCTGGGTTTCCTGTTTGCTTAAGAGCTTCCAAAATGGCTTTCTGGTCATTTGTCAGTGTGCTTTCATCTCTATATGGTCTCTTTTTTGGTTTGCCTTTCTTTACATCTGACATCGTTAAGCCTTCATATTCTGTTAAATCATACATCTTTATTTCAGTAAGATTCTTTATGTTTGTCAAGAAGAAGTCATAGTGCATTTCAACAATACCTGCAGCATTTGCTTCTATCTCTGATATAAAGTTCTCCTTCAAGAGCTGATGTAGTAATGTTCCAATATTATTGAGGTTTAACGTAGAACATTCATACTTTCCACCAAGTTTATAACATACCATCCATCTTTGTTGGGAGTTTATTTTAATCTTCTCTAAGAGTCTCATGAAAACCTTACCGAAATGTTTGTGTAAGTAGTCTCTGTTTGGTTCATCTAAAGCTTCGATGTTAAAGTCAATGAGTCTATTGCCTGTCTTAACATTCCTCTTCCTATTCTCTTCATCTTTCTTTAACATCTCTCACCTTCTTTTGGTTTGTCGTCAATGGAACGAAGGACATCGTTAGCTTTGCGAACTTGTTCTATAGCGCTCTTAAACATCTCTCTTCTCTGTTGTTTCAGTGTGTCGTCTCTTCTTCTTGTTTCACCAACGTTTGCATTTGTTATGTCAAACATTTCTCTTCTTACTTCATGAGGTACTGAACGTCTATGATATAAGTCAATAGCAACGTCATTTAAAGGAAATGCTCTTGCATGGACTTCGTCCTCGCCGCGTTGCGGCTTTATGAACTCATGAATTCTATCATAACTTATTGCACCATTATAGTCATTGAGGATGTCAGCGAGTGCTTTTTTGTTTGTCGCGTAATGCTTTGCAACATCTATGTTAGCTTCTGTAAGAAGTTGTTTTATTTCCGAGTGTTCTAACTTAGACAACTTCCGATACATCTTTAGTAGGAAATAAAAAAATTTCTTAGAAAAAAATTAGCTTAGATTTTTTAAGGCTAGTTTTAAAATATTTCGAACTTTTTATTATAATGAAACACATGCAAGATTGCAAGTTCTTTTCATACAATGCTCTCGCTACTGCCATCAAGAATGAGTTCAATAATGCTGCAAACGTTAATGTTATCTTTAACAAGAAGTTTGTGAAAGAATCTAAGTTCGGTCAGTATGTCAGACCATTAGCTATCGTCATTGACCGCAAACGTTATACTTCACAAGAGTTAGCAGTAGTTTTGAAACAAAAGAGTTTCTTCGTGAATGTCAAAGATACTCATTATACTGTTATAAAGAACTCTAACGTTGACTTCTTCAGTATTGCTATGAATCTTTCCGAACAGAAAGAATATAAGAAGGGTGAAACATCTGTGAAATATTATCCTTCATCTCTGAAGACAATAACGAACAAAGATGTCATACAGAAATTCTTACCAAAGGTTGAAGAAGCTTCTATTGACATTGACGAAGGAAGTGAAATGGTTGAAGAAATAGACCCTGAAGCTATTTAAGCAAAAATATATTTTTGTTCATTCTTCCTCTTTGAAGATATCGAAATATTCTGTTATTTTTTCCTTCAGTAATGTTAAGTCTTCTTTGAATGTAAGTATTGTGCAACCTTTGATGTCATAGTGTGTTTGAGGAAGAGTATTTTTGACAATTTCCTTTATTTGCTCATTCGGTGTCATTGAAATCGGTAAGTTTTCACGATAGAACCAGTTTCTGTCAGATTTATATATCTTAGCTAAGTCATAAAAGCTCTTGTTGTTTCTTCTGACTAAATGTAACATAACCATATCTTTATCTTCTTCTTTCTCCAACTCTTCAGTATATATCATATACTTATAACTCTTTTCCTTTCCTTTTGGTACTGAACGCGGTATTCTTTTCTGTATGCTTTTGTCTTTGGATTCAATGACTTCATCTTTTGCTTGAAGTTTCTTTTCCATCTCTCCACGTTCTGCTTTATATAGTTCATCTAACATCATGAAAATATAACAAGCATAACGGGGCCAAGCCCACATTGCTACAGCATTTACTAAAAGTCTATGAACATAATATCCTTTCAAACCAGGAGCCAAATTCTTGCGATTTTCATACGGAATCTCTTCCCCGGTTTTCCGAGGGAAGCAATCATATGAGGAATTCTTCTAAAAGTTCTTTTGTCTGTTGGTTTTCAAACCAATGATATGCTTGCTTTGTAGAACGAAGAGCATTCATTATACTTTGCATTTGGTACATGTCATCTTTGACTGAACGAATGAGACGTAACTGTTTGTTATACTGTATGTACTCGTATTCTTCATTTATGGCTTCATGAACGATAGCAGTTGTTGTGTTCTCTAATGTTGTCATTGCTGTTCTTACATACAAGATAAAAAATTTTCTTAGAAAAAATTAGCGTTATTTTTCTAACTAATGAAATTCATGAAATTTGGTCATTTTTCAGCAAAAATAATGTTTAGGGTAGAAGGTTAGATCTACCCTCATTTCTACCCTCATTTCTACCCTCATTTCTACCCTAAACATTATTTTTGGTCGTTTATGACAAAATAAATGGTTCATTTACTCACAATATTTTTGTACAAAACGACCCCAAACTTTTAACTTCTTTTCTGCAGCTTCTAATGCTATCTTAGCGAGTTCATATTCTCTAAATTCTCTCTTTAAATCTTCTTGTTCCCATTGGTCTAGTTCGTATGGAGAATCTCTATAACCATAACACATCTCACGTTCATGTTCTAATTGTTTTTCATGCATTTTCCTAACTTCTTCTTCAAACAAATGTTTTGCATTCTCTACTGTATCTTCAAGTTCTTCTTCATCTAACTTCTCATGAACTTTCTTGTCTATGGAGTCCATAATTTTTCCAACTGCTATGCAATATTTTGGAGAAGCCCACATTGCTATATAGTTTATAAGTCTTGGGTCTACATACGTTCCTCTAACCTGTTTGATTTCATCAGGAATTCCTGCATGAATTTTGTATAAAAACCAACCGTCTGTATTCCGGCGGTTGCTATATTCTTCACAAAACGCCTTATAATACTCTTCCCAGGACTTATTTTCCAACAACTTTCTAAAGTCTTTCCTAAACTGCTGACACATCTTTGTTGCATTAATGTAACCATCCTTGTCTCTACGTAAGACTTCAATACCGTTATAAGTGCCTTTTGTGAATGTTTCGCCATTAGATTTGTTCGTGAACGTTTTTGCTTCGACTGACATTACTGTTCTTACATACAAGATAAAAAATTTTCTTAGAAAAAAATTAGCGTTATTTTTTCTATCTTAAGGAAATTCATGAAAATTCAAGAGGGTAGAAATGAGGGTAGAAATGAGGGTAGATCTAACCATCTACCCTAAACATTATTTTTGTCTGATTTACATCTAATGAAAAAGTTTAGAAGAATTTTCTCATTCTTTCTGGCTTATTTTTGTCTTTCCAGTACTCCCGCTCTAATGGCCCCAGATGTGTTGGCTTTGACTCTCTCAAGTTCTTAGATGGTATAACATCTTCAACGCCTCCTTCATATCTTACTTTATAAGTGTCATCGTTTATGTTGTAGCCAAGTATTTCAATAACCACTCCTCGCTTTGCTTCGTCAATGGTTTCAGCAAGTTTGCCATTACTACTTTCGACTAATTTGTGACGAGGGTAAAACGCAATAGAGTCGTCAGCAGCTTTTATAAGATATCCATTACCTTGCGTAGAGTCTACGATATAATAGTTTCTACTTAACCTTAAACGTTTCTTTGTCAACGGTTTGTCGTCAAGAACTACACGAACTTTTGTACCAGGAATGAGGGTAGATTGTGTTGAATTTCTGATATTTTGTGTTTGGCTTCGTTTCTTTTGTATATACTTTTCTTCTTGTTGTTGTGTCATTGAATTTGGTGTATGTCCTGTTGTAGAATGTGTTGAGGAATTATATACTTCGAGAAAATGTTTCATTGTTTCTTCGGTAAAGTCTCGCTCTTGGTTTAAATATCTGAGCGTTCTTATGAAGCGGTTTATGATGCCGAGTATGTTATGGTTATGGTCTTCAGTAGTGTAGTGAGTTATGTTATGCTTAATGAGAAAATCTGTGATTTCATTGCTGAGGTATGCACTGTCTTGGTCTGATGTTAAAGTATTTGGGCTATGTTCTGCTACAAACTTTTGTAAAACTCTTAACACTTCACGAGTTCCTTTATTTTTCATTGGATATGCATATGCTTTACGAGTGTTAACATTAATGAAGATGAGGAATGGTTTATGTCCTCCTTTTCTGCTTTGAATGAGAGTGTCAAATTGGTATGCGTCAGGAGCATTGGAGTAAATTGGTAAAAAGTAGTCGTAAGGGTTTATTTTTGTTTGATGTACAACATTTTTGTCAAAGAACCTTTTCACTTCAGCTCTGTTAGTAAATCCCCAACTCTTTGCAGCTTCATTGAACTTCTTAAATGACCTCCATGGATGTTGTTCGAATACTTCTTTCAAGCTCATTTATGTAAAGTTAAAGATTTTAAGCTGTGCGGTACCATGCGAATATAGTCACAAATGGTGGCATATAATCTGCACCCGAGCCTGTTGGATTTGTTGTGAAAGTGTGGACATGATTTCCTCCCGGTTCAGTTGGTCGAAAAATCTTTTTTGCTGAATTGTTATAAGATGGAGATAAAACTTCATGGCCAGCTTCAAACTCTGAGTTGTATAATGGGTGGTCTCTTAATGAGTGGCTATGGTCGCCAGAAAAGTTTGTCGTTCCTGTATGAGTGTGCGGCGGAAGGTTTGCTTCTTTAATTTTCTTCGAACCTCCTGTTTGCTTTGAAGAGTTAGCACAGTATAAGAATTTGTCTACAATCTGTTCCCACGTACCAAAACCTAAAACACTTGCTGGATTTGTTGAATTCATTGACGTATAAATAGAACCAACAGGATATAATGTTTGAAGTATTTCATTTTTCATGCTTGTAATCACATCATTTACTTCTGACTTCTTTGCATAATTTTCATCTACATAAGTTTTATCTGCTTTAAGGTCTAAACATCCTGAAACCCATCCTGTATCAGCTTTAACTTTAAAAGTCTCCGATGTCCATTCCATATCCGCCTTCTTCTCTAACTCATCGTTAACATAAGTTTTATCTGCTTTAAGGTCTAAACATCCTGAAACCCATCCTGTATCAGCTTTAACTTTAAAAGTCTCCGATGTCCATTCCATATCCGCCTTCTTCTCTAACTCATCGTTAACATAAGTTTTATCTGCTTTCTTATCATATAAATCTTGAGCAGTGAATTTAACATTATTTTCATCATCCATGACATAAACATTTTTACAGCTAATGCCTTTCGTCGTTGTTATGTTTTCATTCGATGTTAAACCTTGTGGAAAGTTAGGAGGTTTATAATATAATGTATCCCCACCAGTTCCTTCAATACTTTCTATAGCAACAGTAGTGAAGGATTTATGTGTATGGTTCTTGTCGGCTTTACTATTTAATGTAGCTTGAAGTTCATTTATATCGGAGATATTGTGTTTATGAGATTTCAAAACTTTGTTCGTTGCGTCAAGTTCATCTTTGTCAGCTTTACTTTTAATAGCATCTTCAAACGTTATTTTTGCCTTAACTCTCAAAGTAAATCTTGGTTCAACTAATACACCGTTAACAAAGAAACTAGAGGCATAAATTTCATCGTTATAACCAAATGTTTCTTGTGCTTTACCTGTGTCATACTGTACAGTACAGCGTATGTCATAACCTTTATCACGAATGTATTTATATCTTCTTTCATTAACATCTTCAGTGCTTATTTGTTCATCCTGTGTTAAATATCCATGGTAGTCCGTTATAATCTGTTCGTCTGAACTTATATAATGAACATGGTTTTTATCTGCTTTTTCGGCTAATTTCTCTTCTATCTCATTTATTTCAAGTTCATGCCTACCACCACCTCCTTCAGAAGTATTTTTCTTCAGCTCTTGAAGAACGTCCACTTCGCCATCTTTGGTGTCAATAATGCGACTTTGAGTTAAAACCTTTCCTGTCTTAATGGATGTTTGTAAAACTTCTTCTTCACCGTGTTCGGGGTCATGGTCGTCATCATATCTTGTGAAATCAGAGATGTTGTCATACATTAAGCATATCTGTCTCAAAAGTTCTGCTATTTGAAACTGGAACGAAAGATATACAGAACTTTCATCATCTCCTAAAGTCAAGTCTGCTTTCTTAAGTATTTCTTGAATGTATGCAATGAGAACAGAGTACCTTGGAAAATATTCGAACAATATTTCATTAGCTGTTGGTTTTGGTGGTTCTTCTGGAGTTTCTGTTGTTTCAGTTCCTTCTGTAGGTTCTGTTGGAGTTTCTGCATCTCTTGACTTCAATGCTCTTGCTCTCAAAGACCTAAATGTTAGAGCACCAGGTTTTACAAAGGACTTTATAAATGCTTTAATAGTTCCTGGTAAGTTATTGTTAGCATTAAGTAAGTTCCTTATGCTTCCATCATGTACGTCCATAGCACTATATAAAAAATCTATACTTTTCTTGTAGTCAGCAATAGACTGACTGTGATTTTTTAAAGATTTGTCAATACCTTAAGCCAATCTTCATGCATGTCTGATACTGAGCCAAGAATATCATTTGCTTCCTTTAGTGTATTTTGTGCTTCTCGTAAAGTATCCAATCCCGTACGTGCATTGTTTGCTATACGTCTTACAGTATCTATTTGACTCCTTTTTCTTGCATCCAACCAGATAAAGTTTTAATAGTATCCGAACCATTTGAAATGAAGTTCAAAGCATTTTTAATGTCATTTAAAACTTCTTCACCAAGTACCGCCCATATCTTTCCGATTTGGTATTGAAGAACTCCATATGAAGCAGCTGTTAAACCAGTATTTATAAGGTTCCATATCCATGATTTAGCAGTTTTTCCATCCTTTCCATCTACACCATCCAAACCGTTCTCGCCTTGAGGTCCTTGTATTCCTTGTATTCCTTGTGGTCCTTGAGGTCCGGTGTCACCCTTCTCTCCTTTCAGTTCATCTTTATGTTCGTTATAATATTCTAATGTCATAAGGTGTACATCATTACTGCTACCAGCAACGCCGAGAATTTGTTTCTCATTCATGACTAAATTCTTTAGGCATTTAATGTTGTCGTCAAATCGAAAGCTCTTTAACAATTCAATGAGAACATTTAATACTTTCACTAATGAGGCATCTACTGTAGAATTTATATATTGCACCGTTCCATCATTTATGATGGGAACCTTGCTTATTGTAATGAATGGGTCATAAGTGTTAAAAGTATCGAAATCAATGACTTTTTTAGTCTTTCCATCGTCAATGATTAAATCATTGCCTTCAATGGTTAAAGTTGAGTTTTCGTTTACTAGTTCATGTGCTCTTCTTGCTTCATTTGTTTCATACGCATATGCAGCAATAGTCATATTTTAATGAGAATAAAATGTTGTTCTATTTGCAAAGTACAGACTCAAACGAATACGGGACAGTAAAGCTACAAACAAACTTAGGTCTTCAGAATGAAGCGCTTGCTTTCAGAGTTGATGACTTCAATACTATCGCAACTTTTGTCATAACAGATGAAACAGATTTCATAGAGATTGAAATAGATGACAAAAGAAGTGTTATAACATTTCCTAACAGAGCCGAGTACAGAATAGATAAAATTGCTGGAGTGTTAAATGCTCTCATAAATGAAGAAACTATTGACAACATAGATGTCGAACTCTCTTCTGAGGGAACATTGAAGTTCAGTTATGCGAAGGAGTTCAAGATAACACGAATGAGTCATAGAGTTCAATTGCTTCTGGGTGCATACCATATGACATTTCCTTTGAAAAGTGTTGACAAAACGATTGAGATGAAATCTGTTCCATATGTATGTTATGGCAACTGTTTGTACATTGAGTCAAAAATAGCTAATGTCACAGGTATTTCAGGAGTTAATAGTAAAGGTTCAGTAGAATATAAATCCTTCTGTTATGCAGTCAATTCAATGTTCATTCCAAACGTTCCTGTCATAGCAACTCATTTAGGTAAATGGGTTCGCATTAGTCCTCATAATTTGAAAGACATGCAATTCAGACTTGTTGACTTTCAAGGAGAGCCTGTAGAACTGAAGGCACCAGTGCGAATGACTGTTGAAGTTGACTTTTTAGAAAATATTAAATGCAACAGCTTACAAGAGAACTCAGAGCTAAAAATATAAAGTATGAATGTTATGTATTAGGTCATGAACTTTGGTTGTTGCTGTTTGATTGAAACAATGAGTTAGTTTGTCAGTCAAGAGAACAGAAAAATATTGTGTTAGTGAAAACTGCACCAAGTCAATAAGATTAGGTTTGCATTATGAAGATGAGTTCGATACTGTTGAAGAAGTTTTGGATAGATACTATAAGTTGCTTTAATTTACTAAAACATATTTCAAACAAAGCTTATATTCTGTTGAAAGTTTTGTATATTCATTCGAATATTTATACTTAAACTCAACTCCTGTAGTTCCTGGTGTTTCAATGATGCGGATGTTACCTATTTTCATGAATGGTGTCGTTTGACCACAGCATTCGATTTCAGGGTCGAGATAGTCAATGACACATTGTTTCCCTGTTATTCGTGATATAACATTTTCAAGGTCCTCCTTTGTTAGAATTATTTGGTTCTTGCTTATAAGATTTACCAAAAGCTTCTTATCGTCTTTGAGTAAAATTGTTTGGTATAACTGAAGAAGGTAATGGTCTACGTTATCTGAAGGATTTGTTTGAACATTTGTGTAGGATTGTCGTTTGGCTTCTCTTGAAAGAATTGGTCCAGTGGTGGATACTCTAACTTAACATCTGATGTAGCGTTAGCGTTTGCACTTGAAGCTGAGTTTAAATTCACCGACTTAAGTTCTGGTTCTTTTCTTTCAAACATCTGAACTATAGTTTTTTGACAATATTGTTTGTCGTTCGTGTGTCAACATTTGATGTTGGTTCAATTGGAACATTAACGGCACCAGCTAAGATGAATTTGCTTCTCATTCATATAGAATAAAAACCTTTTATATGTATGAAATGAACAATATACTCGACAAGGGTTTGAATGCAAAGCTAACGAATGAAAATATTGTTGAATTCACTGAGACAGGTGCTGTGTATAAAGATGTAGAACTACTGAACAAAAGAGCTAAGGGAAGAAGCAGGAATGAACAAAGGGTGGAAGCTATAAAAATTTATGTCAATGATGGCTCAGGAGGTTCAAACATAAAGTATGCAGAAAGTTATAGAGTTTATGCTCTCAAAGGTGAAAAGCCTTCATTTAAGAACAGCTATTCTAACGCATATCCTCAAAAGCTAACGGATGGGGAAGTGGATGATATGAATGACAGCAAAAATATTAACAGAAATGGCGACAGAGATGCATGGAATTTGTTTACCATCAGTCAATTGAAGGTTAAACTTTAAAACAATGTTGGTCGTTCCCATGGAATATTTTTGACTTTAATGGTATTAGTCATGATATGAATCTCAAGGTATGAACGAGGAGAGATGAGAGACTTATATGCTTCCCAAATTTCTTCAAAAGGTAATGTTATACCTGACTGTTTCCAAATGAGTTCAATGTCATAGCGTGAGAAACCTTGAAAGATAACGAAGTCAGTTATGAGATGTTTTATGTTTAAAGCAAGAAAGCGCCATGTTTGCATAAGTATTGCTACAGTTAAATGGTAATGTCTGACTTTAGTAATGATGTTAGCTAATGGTGAGTCAGGCTTTGACACTAAACCTTTTCCGGCGAAGTCGTCACAAACTAACAAAGTGTTTGATGGATATTTTTTGAAGGGGTATTTTGAAAGTTTTGACAGAATGTAGTTTGTAAGTCGTTTCATATTGTAAACTCCTGAGTATTGACGTAAGTGGTGTTTGTCAATAATTCTTTCCATCTCCTCAGAAGTCTTTTGCATTCCTGACTGTATAAATTCAACGATAGCATAATATTTCCTCTTACGTCGAATGTAACGTTGAAGAAATTCAATGAGTTCACTGTCTGGAACTTTAACGACAGAGGCTTGAACTTTTGACATAAATGTTTTCGCTGTTGAGTCCATAGAGTCTGAAGTTGCTGATATAATGATTTGGTCATAATATGAGTCATTTCCTAAACGCTCTGTTATGAGTATATTACGAATTAAATTAAATGTCTTACCTGAACCCATCTTTCCACAATAGAAATAAACGCCATTTGAACAGAACTCATAGTCCTTACTGAAAGGAAGAATAAGAGAAGAGTTAAGTTTGTCTGTAGTTTCATTCATGTCTTCATCTACGTCATGTATTAAATGCTTCATTTTATCTCCATTAAAAATGCAAGTCAGAAATATTCAGAACATAGCACCGAGTCTAACTGACAAGAGTATAAAGATATACTATGAACATGTTATGATGAAACCTACCAAAATTCAAGAAAGTCAGTATACTTATGAATATCCAAGACACTGGGTAGAGTATGTAGGAGGTGAGAAAGCTATTGAAATCAGACAGGTTCGAAGTATTCCAGCAGGAAGAACAATATTATTGAAGAACTTTAATGTTTTGAGGTATAATGATGAAACAAAGAAGCAAGATAGTTTCCCTGTTGCTGTGTATGTGAACTTAGATACAGGAGATGACATGAAAGTTTTTAACACAAAGCTTCAAACGGTAGTGAGAGAACAACTTACTGCGGAAGGACATCCATTACCTTCAGAAGTTACCATAGCATATAATTTTGAAACAAACTCAATAGATTTTAAAGTCGTCTCTGCAAAGAAGTCAGGATTTTACATTTAATGAAGCAGATGTATATTCGAATGAAAACTTCAAAGCTATTGCATGGTTAGATAATGACGATTGCTTTAAGAAAATATTTAAATACAGTGACTCAACGATGTCAATAGATGACCTTCGTGGAATGTTACCATCAACGTTTACAGTAGAAGGTTCAGCAGGATTGCTTACAAGATTGTCAATTGGTGGTATTTGGTCTCGTGAGAACATTGTTATAAAATCCAGTATAAGTGAATTTGCTGACGAATCTATATTATGTCTTTCAAACTACATGTATTCGCCGCCGAAGCATTATAGTATAACAAAC